CTGGCATTTACCAGGTAGGAAAAAAAAAGAAAGCCATATTTTGGCCAGCTTTTTCAGCAACAGAAAGGAGCTCAGAGGAGCCCAAATGGCTTGTTCACCTCCTGCCGTCGGTCCTGAAGCTGACTGGGAATGGAGGGAAAGGATTAAGGCTTGGATCATTTCCTTGTATGCTCCCACAGCCTTGCTTTGTTTCCCATTATTGTCCCAGGTCTGCTCCTGCCTGCTCTGCCCAACAGGACCGGGGTGGGGGGGACTTGAGAACCAGCCTGGCATTGGGCTTGGAAAAAACTGGCCTCCTTCCTCCCCGCCACACGCAGGAATAATTCACCCAGAGACAATGCGCTGGCAATGACTTTCCAGATCAATTTATAGCCTGACCTAAAGCTTTCTTCCTGTTCAGGGTGAAAGGAGAAGGAAGGGGGATATTTTTTTTTTGTTCAAAATAGATGTCTTTGGTGAGGTCAGTGTAAATCAGAGGGAATTTGGGGTGTTAACATTGAGTCTGCTCAGTGCATGCTTTCCAACTCAAGTCATTGCTGAAAGTCAGTTATTAAGGAATCAGCCTGCAGGAAAGGATGTAAGCAGGTTTAAAAATTCCCAAAAAGCTGATAATACGGTTAAAAAAAAATAAATCTTAGCGTATAGTCTGGATATTTCTTATACAAAGTGAATCTGTGAGTTCTCAGGGTAATAGACAGCATTCTTCTATCTGTGGCTTCCCAGAAAAGGAAACAATACAGTCAGATTAGCTGCGGGGAAGTGGCAGTCTTCCCTTCCTCTCCTGATAAGCTGGAGCAGCGCAACCTATCCAGCAACTTGGAGGACATGGTCTGTCACCTGGCCACTGCAGACCCCACTGGTGGGTGCCTGGCAGTGGCTCCCCTCCATTCCTCTTTCTGTGCACATCACTCCCCTTTCCTCAAACCGGAGCTGAGCCCTTTTGGATAAGGGATCACGCACGCAGGAAACAGGGACAACTTTGGTCATTTCTTTTCTAGACAGTGTTAACAACTCAGCAGCCCAAAGAATTTGTCTTGCAATCCCCTCTGTGGCTCAGCTTTCAATTCTCTATTCAAGCAGCATGAATGAACCAAAGCCTTTATTTGCATTCTCTTCAAATTGCCCTCCACCGCTAGCATGAGACCTTTGGAAGTTTGTTGCAAGAGTAGCACAGCCAAGATACTTTAGCCGGGCATGATGCCCCACCGCTACCACAAAAATCGCTTCAAAGCAGCTGCTGAGTCAGAATAAAGGGGGATGGATGCGTTCACTTCCCAAAGATCACAATGCAAAGCCGGGCAGGAGGAGGAGTGAGGAGGAAGGTCAGTGGATGCGGCATTCCCTGTCCCTGAGTCACTTCTACAGGAATTCATGAGATTTGCATCTCCCAAGTATATCTGAGAGTGAGGGCACAGGAGTTTGAGGAGGGCTTTATAAAGAAATCCCACCCTGGACCACAGTGAAGGACACCCCGGGCTGTTGCCCATGCTCAGGTTTGGGCGGGGCAGGGGGCTAACGCTGCCCGCCCTGCCGTAGCACAGGTTCAGGAGCCAACAGCATCACGTTTGCGAGCTGAGGAGCCGTGTGCTCCAGTGTGGAAAGTGCACAGGGTTGCCTTCAGGCTTCCTTCCCTGGGGTCCCAGAGAAAAGGGGAAAAAGTGCCTTTGTTCTCCTTTGGCCTTCGCCTTGCTGCGGCTTGTAATAAGTGAAGAGCTGGTCCTGTCCAAGCCCTTTATGTTTTTTTCAGTTCTGGAAAACAAAGTGTATTCATAATGACTACTTTTCTTTTTTTTTTCCATATTTTCTACGGCTTTTAAATTGATGCAGCATTTCCTCCTGCACCTCTATGAGAGTGGTGTGGCTCACCATATGTCGTGCATCTCCACGATGGCTCTTGCTTTGGAGAGGAAGGCAGCAACAGCAGCTGCAGAGAGCTCAGACAGTGCCTGGATCCCCAAAGCAGACGTGGGACCATCCCTCCCCGACCCTAAGTGGTCACCACTCCCTCCTTTTCCCTTCTCCACCAAGGGACCTGCTGTCTCCTCTTCCCAGAAGGCACAAAGGCAGGGCAATGGTGATGAACAACCATCATGACCCCTTTCTGCTCCTCATCCTTCTCTCTTCTGCTCCAGCCCTGAGTAGTTACCCCCAGTGTGTCCAGATCCCCATCTCACCTAACCTCCAAACTTGCTGAGAAAATATCGGACTGCATCTTGAGCTGGGTAAGAGAGGATGGTCCTGTCCCATCTTAAGATTTCAAAACAATTCCCCCTCTCTGTTTGCTGAAACCTCCTGGAATTTTTCAGCAGAAGGAGACGAATCTACCCCGGAGTAGCCCAGAGCCTGGTGGTTAGCCTGTGGTCTTGGGCAATCGGGAGCAGAGGATGAAATCCCCACTCTGATGCCTTCAGAGTGGGCACCTGAACCTCCCGCGTCCCTTCATCCCTTTGAATCCTGCCTTGCTAAAACCAGGCCGGTCCTGTGGGAAGTGCTGGTTTTGATGAACCAACATTTTCCAGTGAAAAACGTGGCATTTGCAATTTCCCAACCAGTCCTAATTGGGAGCATTGAGAAAAAGCAAACAAACAAGTGAGCAAACCAAACGGTGGCAGAAGGCAGGAAACGAGCTGGGCATCTCAGAAGAGCTTTCTGGGGCAGGAGTGACAGCAGATAAACAGCTCTGGGGTGGACACGGGAACCACCATGCTCTGTTGCAGGAGCTAGACCTTGCTGCAAGTGACTGGTGGTCCCTTTGGTGCTCAATACTTGTGGGCTATCTCTGTCATGCAAGATGCAGCTCTGATATTATGAATGAAGGTTCTAGACCGCTCTGGTCTGCACCTGTCCTCAGCATGACCCATGTGCCCCATTCCTAGAGAAGCCCGAGGTATCTCCACAGGTTTGGCTATATCCCTCTTCTTCCAGCTGTTTCCATCACCACTATGCAGCACTTGGAGAAGCACTGGTACCAGTCTGGTAGTCAGGCACTCAAGGCTCCTCCTACACCACCTCTTTCTCTTCCTGTATTCACACTTCCAACCTTTCCTGTCAGAAAACCTGTACAATTTTGTCAAGTAGGTACAGATGGAAATCTCAGATTTGCACTAGAAAGTTTAAATCTTGTCTCAGAAGAGCCTCTTTGCTCACTTGCTTTCCATGGACCCCCAACACTGGGTGCAGGATCTCAGTCCTACATGATGCAGGTATGAGTTCAGCTGACTCCAATAAGTCTTGGGTTTTCAGCTGTGGAGGAGAGCACTTCTCTTGGATGTGCTTCCCTCAGACCATGCAAGCAGACCTGATACTCTGCCTTTGGCATCAGGGTGACATCTCCTTGGGGCAGATGGATGTATGGGATTGCTGGAACTCTGTTGCGTGCCTGAATATGATGGTGGCCTTACCATGAGCAATAGCTCTGCTATTTACTGCAGTAACACCAGTCTTGGTCACATGGGGCACCAGGACAGCTAGGAGGATTGTTTCTAGGAAATCCCCTTTAGAAACCACCCGAGCTATATGCTGTGAGGTTTGGTGGAAGCCAATTAGCTCAGAAACAGCAAACGTCTTGCCATGCTTTCATAGCCACAAGATTTTGCCCCAAGGCTGCCTGTCAGAGTTGCAAGCTCTTCTGCTGGGAATATTCAGCAGGGCCTAGAGGAAGGGGTGATGGAGAGAGATGGAAGGGTGGTTAGGGGGAGTATCACCAGCAGAGCAGCACTGGTGTGGTGGATGCAGGAGGGTGTCTCTGTCGTGGGCTCTTGAGAGCCTATATGGAGGGTCACCGCGAGGAATTGCTGGCGCTTTCTGATTTCCTATTTTATGACTGTGTCTTCTTCTCAGCAGCTCCTCTGGCTGCTCTTCCAGTGGTTTTGTCAGTTTTGTGATCATGATAGGAGTGGGAGCAACGCATTCCAGCAGGGATGAGATGGCAGCTTCCATCCGTGCAGCTCTGATGGAGGCAGTCAGATCTGGTTTGGGAAAAGAGGCTGTTAAAACCACAGCCTCCTCTCAGACCAGCTTTCAAAATCTGCCACCAGCCAAATGCAGCCGCAGCCTCTGCTGCTGTCTCTGCCAGGCTGTGCCCATCCCACAGGGACCTCCTGTACAGTTTCCACTACACTGGCAGAAGGGATGTGACCCTTTTCCACACACTCTACCACCCCAGCCAGCTGGCATTGCCATGGCAGCTTTTCCTCCCATAAAGTGGCGATTTTGGGGCCAGATACTTGAAAGAGGTTTGCAGCAACAGGAGCAGGGGTGCTGCCCCAAAATGCCCCGCTCTTGGCCAATACACTCCAAACTCCTTTCGAATGAAATTCACTTTCTGCATGTGACTTGTCAAATACTTGTGAACGACAAGCACGTTCCACAGCAGGGACTCTGCCCGGGCCTCCCTCAAGCAGAAGGGGGAACTGGACACACTTTCTATATTGGTCATGGCGGTCATCCACAGTTTTTCTGGGTAGAATTAAGAGGTGACTTAATTCTTTGCTTAATCAGACTCTTTCCATTATGTAGCTGAGGAAGTTCAGGCTCCCAGCTGCCTTGCTATATTTGGGCTGTAAAGTGCAGGAAGTTGATAGGCATAGAAATTTCCCTGTAACATTTCCCTAGAAAGACAAAACTCATTCAAACCTCTCTGCCCTCTCCTCCTCATCCCCTGGGCACTGGGGGTACCGGATGCTCTGCATACCCACTCCGGTGCTATGTAATCCTTCTCCCTCCCTCCCTCCCTCCCTCCCAGGGAGTTCATTCGGATGGCAGAAGGATATTGTGAGGTGATGGGTGGCTCCAGGACCTTTTAAAGCTCCCTTACCCGATCACGGATGACAACACCCTACAGTAAACATCAGTGCCCCCCTCCCCAAGACGTGGATGCATGAACGGGCACAGCCCCTCGAATAGATCCACAACATTTATTCAGTAGCTTTGAAGGTGCAGTAGCATTAAGTGCGTGTTTCCACTGGTCACCCGCGAGCTCCCTGCCACTGGCCTGGTTGCTAGTTGCAGTAGTTCTCTAGTTGGTAGAGGGAGCAGGGGTTGTGGCAGCATTGCTCGACGATCCCTCTCTTCACTTTCTCAAATTCCTCCGGCCGGAAGGGCAGCTCTCCCACCTCGCCTGGCAAGGGACCACTCACTGTCAGGGAAGAAAAAGATCAGCCATGGGACATCATTCAGCGTCAGCTGTTGAGCCCTGCAGACATCCCGTTTGCAGACACCAGGTTGTTAAGTCAGGCTGGAAAACGGGGAGGAAGTTGCATAGGTCTCCCCGGGTTGATGCTGCTTGTAGCACCTTCAGGCTCTGTGTTTCGTCTCCCAGAATAATACTGTGATGCTCAGAAGGAGCCAAGCTGAGTGGATATCAGCAGCATGAGGGACAAAGGGATGCAGGGGCTTTAATGAGAAAGGTGTGTGGAGAAGAAGAGAAACCCTGTGCCCTCCCTGGGATGAGAAGCCAGTAAGTAAAATGATAAAATGGGTTGGTCTGCTCCAGAGAGATGAGTTGCTTGGGACTACAGCCCCCCTCGGGCAGTTAGTCACTCTTCTGGGAGCCTGGGCAAATAACTGGGATGTCCGTGGGATTGCAAGGACAGTCCAGTCCTGGGGCTGGATGCATTTCCCAGCTGGTCCTGAACAGCCTGCTCCTGTTTTGGCTGCCTGGATGTAGCCTCGAGCTGACAACTAAAGCATTCATGTGTGTCCACGTTCACAGCTGGGAATGAGCTTTTAGAAGGAATGATGAATTGGTGTATTTGGACACAGACAAAACTCAACAGAATGTCTCATTTGCTGGTGGGAACTTGAAAACTTGTGGACAGAACTGTTTAGGTTTTAGTTGCCAAACGAAAATATAGAAAATGGCAAATAAACCAGTGATTTTTCCTGCAGGAAGAAAAGATCCCATAACAACAAAAAGAAAATGCCTGGAAAGTGAGAATGAGATGAGGTTTCTAGGGCAGTATGAAAGTATAGCATAAGATGCAACATCCCCAAGCCCCCAAAGTGTCATACAATGAACGAGGCACAAGAGTAACAAGAAATCATTATGCTAGTGTGCTAGGAGGAAAATTTAGGAAAGGTTTAGCCCAACTTTAAGTAGAAGAGGAAATAGCTAGTCAATGTTTTGTGATTTACTTGTCTTCATCCTTCAAGCCAGCTGTGAGCAGCCTGTAAACACAACCAGCTTGTGTGACAAAGAGGTGTTGGCTGAGGCAAAAATCCTGGAACAAGAGGTAGAAAGTCCTCAGATACTCTCAAACTGGTTGTCCCTGATTAAATTCTCCATACAGTATTTAGGGAGTTGGCTGACGAACCTTCCAACCCGTTTCTGGTGGTCTTCATAAACAAATCATCAGAGAAGGAAGCAACTAACAGCACAGCTGGCTATTGAAAATAAATCATGTCAAATCCTCTGCTATGACATTACCTTGTTCACCTCCCAAAGACCTCTAAGACTATTTCATGGGATGGTTGCATATGCAAGAGAAGGAATCAAATACAAATGAAAATAGTTTGTGATGGGAAAATAACTGATGGAAGAGGTGTATCGTAGTCAGGGGAGGTTAAGTAATGGTCCATCTTGAAATCAGAGGGTTGAAATGACTGTGATTTGTCAGGGGTCTCTTCTGCATCTATTCGAAGTCTCCATTAGTAGCTTGGAAGACAGAAGAGCAACCTGGTGTAGTGGAGCGTGTCCCTGTCCATGTCAAGGGAGTTGGAACTAGATGATCTTTGAGATCCCTTGCAACTCTAACCATTCTATGATTCTAAGAGAAAGTGTACTTGCTGGTCTCATAGAGGAGCCAAAGCTGAGAGGAACTGCAGCTACCTATCTCCAGGAGAGACATCATCCTTCCATTACTGCTGGGGCAATATAGGTTCTAGCCCCATCTAGATGCAAACACCGTGTTGAAGGGCAGCTCTCTGGACTGCCTCATCCCACCTACACTGCCATACAGACACAAAGTGCTGGACCAGGGCCAGTGACCCGGCACCGAGGGTGTGTGCGCAGGGTTGTCACTTCCTCCTGCCTCCTGGTCCTTGCACTTATCAGTAGCCCAGGAGTCCTAAGGAGTGTAACCAAAGCAGCTCCACCAGCATTTCACCACTATGAAATAAGACACAACATAAAGCTGGTGGGGCTGCGAGCGTCTTGAAGGGCAAGATTTGGTAATAAACTTAGCAGTAAAAAATTACCTTTGAAACTACAGAAACACTGAAAATATGGGATGCTGTTTAGTAAGAAATGAAAAAGATGCTATAGGTAGGCAGGAAGACTGTGTTGGGCATCCAGGACAAGGGTTCGACTGTGGTAGCGATCCTTCAAGGACTGCTGATCCACTCAAGGGAGGGCCAAGGCATCCAAGGGAGACAGTGATCACTGTCAATCAACAGTGCAGTGCTCCTTTGAAAAAGGTAAACCACTTGCGTAGGCAGGAACATGGTGTGAAATACATTCAATACCATTCTTCCAGTTTGCTCTCTCTACTTGGCCCTGGCAAGGCCTCAGCTGGGGTCCTGTGCTCTTCTCCAGGCATCACCAGGCTCTAAGGATGTGGACTAAATGCAGAACAATTTGCAAGGACAAAGATCTAGAAAATAAGACCTAAAAAAGTAGTGGGGGGTTGTAGAGGGGATTTAGCTGAGAGCAGATTAAAACTAGACAGGGGAACAGTCTTCAAATATTTTGAAAAACAGCCATAAAGAAAAAAGGACAAGAGTTTTCCCCACATCCACTATGGAGAAGACAAGAAATAATTTACAGCAAGAGACGTTCAGGTTAAATATTGGGAAGAAACACCAGGAAGATGGTCAGTTAAACACGGGAACGGGCAGTTTCAGAAGACTGAAGCAGCTTCTGTCTTTTTTTATGAACATACTAGAAGTTTTTATGAACATACTAGACAAGCAAGGGTGAGGAATAGGATGGGGACAGCTGATCCTGTCTTGGGGCAGAAGGAGGCTTTCTGTGTTCCTTCCACTTTTATTTGCTCTGAATGCTTCCAGGCCAGTGTAATGGCCACACAAAGAAATAGACAAGTTTGGGCTTTCAGTCACAATTCCTTTTGCTTCATAAATCCTCTTTCCCTGCCTGCCCTCCTATCTACCTTTTTAACCTGAAGAGCTTTTCATTGGCAATATGATGCTGTTGGTATGTTAAAGATATTCCTGGTATTCCCTATCCAGGACATTTGTGGTGTCACCATCAAAGATAGACGGTTGTTGCCTTTCGCATCACATAGCATACGACTACATTCAAGCTCAGTCTGACTTACCCAAAGGCTGCTCAACTTCCCGTCGGGCTTTGGGGGAGTAGAAGAAACCCCGCTCTCCACACACCAGGTAGAGAGCCTCCACCAAGTGGGAGCCACAGAGATGCTGGTTGGCAGCTGCTTGGCTGGTCCTGAGGCCGGAAAGAGCGAGAAGGGCCAGGAGAGGCAGCGACTGGATCCAGAGAGCCATGGTTACCAGGCAAGGGAGATACAGCGAGATCTAGGAGGGAGAAATAGGCTGTTATCAAGCATCTTACATCCTTCAACTCCTTTGGCATGAAAATGAGACCAAAGTAGCAGATGGACCTTCTAAAGATGCCCTAGCTTCAGAGAGAAGAGCTTTCTGCATCAGGCTTTCCAAGTCACAGTAAATGACTAATGACTATAACCAGAAGTCCATCTCCATCCACATGCTCACATCAGTCCTGGCCTCCCTGCTGTCTTTCACCAAAAGGCCAAACTAGACTGGAAGAGCCATCCCACTGAGCCCTGTAGTATACGCACCCAGGAGAGCCAAGATTGGCAGACACCTTCAGAGGAAAAACCCTCTCTGCCAAGTCAGAAGATGATGATGGCCTAAAAACACCACAATGTGCTCAAAGACCTGAGGAAACCTCATTTTCTTGGACTAGTGAGCCAGCACTTGTCACCAGCTACATTAACTTAAGAAAACAGCTCTGCAAAACAGGTAGAAGATAAAAGGGTGGCAATCAGACTTACCCAAAGAAGTGGTAGCAAGAGATGGAGAGAATGCTCTGAGAGATGAAGACTGTTTGGTTGGTAGTCATATACCCATTCTCTTTTTCCCATATTTATATGCTCTACATTAGCCCAAGTGACACAAGAGCTAGCACGAGCCCCACCTCTTCGATGACACTCTAGCCAAAACTTTTGCTGCTTGTGCACATTAATTTCCCTCTAGTTAGCATCAACAGGTCTTTATGCAATTTAAGATAGAAGCAACAGTTTGCAGTTTCCATCTCATTTCATCCGACCTGTTTTTGCTTCCCTGAAGCTCTGTCCTGAGCCATCAGTGACCCTTTTAGCAGGAGATAATGGTGCTATTACAGCTGCAATGATTGCTAGTGACACTAATGCTGGCAATAGGCACTGCTGGCATTGAGGTGGCTCAACAGCTGTTTCTAAAATGTAAAATTAAAGGCAAACATGTTAATCTGTTTGATTAAGATCACCTTGGAAAGTATGCAGCAGTGGGACCAAGTTGTGGGTGAGACCATGCTACTGTCAGGTGTTAAAGGAAAACAGATAGATGATTGTGCTGGGGCTATCTGTGGCCCCACTCACTGGCCATGCGCTGCACAGTGACAGGCACGTGTCCATGGCTTGGGCTGGGGGAGGAATAACATCCACGTACCTTGTGTGGTTGTTGTAGCTCAACGCGGGGCCAGAGTTAGAGCATTTGAAATTTTGTATTTGCAAAAATAAGCCTTTCCCCTTTGCCCACTGAAAGGCAGGTGCCCTCCTTCACCTGCCAAGTGCCCCTTCAAACTCCTGTTTGGGATTAAGCAGAGCAGAGACTCAGTCTCTGCCATTTGCAGGTAGGAGCTCTAAGCTCTTCTGTCTGGGGCTCTGCCCAAATTCGTGTCTTCAACACCAAGAATCGTTTCTGGTAAATCCCAGTGAAAACCAGGAGATATTCTGGCTGGTAAATTCGCTTTTGATAGGAGATGATGGGCCAGGGGTGGTCCACTGGCTTTCATGGGTCTGATTTCGGCAACAGATGCAGCTCCCTCCCTCTTTCACATTACTCCATTTTTTGGATACTTCTGTGCTCAACTTTTCTGTCACCAATAGCATGCTCTTACCTTTTTCTGCTTAAAGTATATTTTTTTCTTTTTTCCTGCCTGAAAAGGCCGGCAGTCATTTTAAATGCTGGGGATGAGAGATGATCTTCAAACTTCCCATTGCTCTAAATTTTGAGATTACAAATGCTCAACACGACTGAAGCGAAGACGTTTTCATCTGTTTGAACTCTGCTGCTTGTTTAGCTTAGAATAAGCCTGATTCTCCATATACAGGGAAGTCAGAAGGATGTTCACCAGAAGGAACAGAATGCCTTGAGGCTCAAACCAGGCCCTCGATTTCTCGAGTAGCCAAAGCAATTCCACCCATCAGCATCTAGGAGGTAGGAAGTCCCGTATGGCCCCGGCACGGCTTTAAGTGTGAAGTATCATATGTTTGCGAAATGACTGCGATTGCAAAAAGGCTGTGAGAAGTGCTAAATCTCTGATGAGCGTACAGGGAGGGGACTCATTTGCTCAAACGGATGTGAGACAAGGTTATCAGTGACATCCCCTGCCATGTAGGTCTTTTGGCCTCCTGCTAATAAATCCAAGTCGTGATGCGCAACTACAGTTAATAGCATCTCTGCATGATGTGTAACAGTATCTCTGTCACCTTTCCCCTCAAAAAAAGATATTGGATGTACTTGAATGACCTCATGGTATACCCATGAAGAGTCTCCAGTTTCAACAAGATATGCCTACAGGGAATTCACTTTCTCAGACCTTCTTTCTACTGGGAAAAGATGGGGAGTTAGCAGCTACACAGGATAAAACCTGACTTTTCGCTCCGTTTGAAGCAGGTTGTCAAAGTCAGGAGCAGAAGTCTTGTGCCGTCGAGCTTCCTCCAGAGCAGGGAGCCCCACCCAGCACCTCACATGAAGGGGATAGCCCTGCAGAATTAGCCTACAGATCCCCTTAGCAGTCATTTTCCTGCGGTCACCACACCACTTGAGGTCTGATGGACCTCAGGCCAGTGGTTGCCTTGGAACAGCTCTGGAGCAGGGTGTTGCCCAGGTTAATCACACACTGAGATTTGCCATTTAGGGTTTTCCTTCTTACACTTTTGAATGTCACCTGAGCTCACCTGAACTCATGTTTTATCAACAGTGGGAGGCTTCTCTATCCACTACCGTCTCCCTTCTGAGTAGCTTCCCTGCTGGGCTTCCCCCTTCTCTGAGGCTCACCCTGCTGACACAGCAAAAAAAGCTATTTTATTTTGTGTTGGAAGTGCCATGTTACTAGTCTGTTGCTTCTCTTACTCTTGGCTAATCAAATCCTGGAGGTAGTTTCAAAAAGCTGGTGGCATTTCTGCAGCATGCCCAAGCAGGGGAAGGGCTGACTGTGCCTGAACATTCAGAAATCCCTCTTGGCTCACAGCAGTTTGGGTGCAGAAGTAAGCCAGAAGATTTATTGGAAGGAAAAAAGACATTACGCTGGCTCAAAGTTTAGCATGGGCCAATTTTTTTTTGCGAAAATTTCCTACTCTGATTTTTTTTCCCCTTCCAAAATATGATCACTTTGATTATTTATTGAAAACTGTATTTTCTTACCATAAATGGTCCTTTGGAATATGAAAAATGCTAGCAGTGATATAAACAGATATAAAATGGATATCAACCGTGGAAAGTTTTGTTTTAGAGGGAAAACTCCCATGTCAGCAGCGAACTGAGAGAGGGGTCCAACAGGGGAGCCCATTTCTCAACAGAACAGCTTTTTCTACAGAAAAATCTCAGCTCTCTCCTTCCAGGTTGAGCTTCCCCATGATTTTCATGTGATTAGGCAGCAACAGGCTAAACACTCATCCCTCGTTTTGGCTACATGTGCCTCCTGTGATCCCCACCCCAACTCCTGAGCTCCACATTAGGCTTGGCCAAAGGGTGGGAGTGGATAGGTGGGAATGGGCTGCTGCTGGCTCCTGCCATTCGTGCTAAATCACCTCCTGTGATTAAAAGCCACCTCCCTCACTCATATCCCCCCACCCCGACCCCAAGCTGTTGCATCAACGAGGTTTAGGCAATCCCTGGTGTCATGTAATCAAGTTTTACAGTCTGTTGCCAGCTCAATAAAATCTTTACTACTGTAGATGTCTAGCATTTTCGAACCCTGTCCTGAAAAAATAACAAGCCCGCTACAGGGACACTGGTTAACGATTACAAGTTTGTGCAAGTTTTACTGACAGCAAAGGTCAGGTCTGGTGGTGAGCAAGTTCTTGGTGAGCACCTGGGGACCCTGAAACACCACTGACATCTCCACCGCTGCTTTCACACTCGGCAGCCACTGCGGGGCTGCTCTACCCATCCCCAGGCGTACGTTGCCCCAAAAGCGGAGCAGAGAGCAACGCAGTGGTGGCCACATGCCTCCTTTTCCCAGCAGGGTCAATTGCCGAAATACAGCCTAGAGTCACCCAGAGGAGTCTGCACCCCCAAAAGCAGCTTTTGGGGGTGGCCGGCCCCTGAGAGCTGCCCCAGTATGGCCACTGGTAGCTGGAGATGTGTAGCTGGGGCAATGCACTCAAGCACATGGGCCATTTGAGCTACAGAGGTATAGTTCTTCACTTGGCATGGGGAGATGGGGACCCCCAGGGACCCAGCGCTTGCCCCTCCAGGCTTTCCTCCGGTCCCCGTGCAGGGTGAGCAGCAGCCAGCAGTGTGGTATGGAGCGGGGAAGCCAACATCCTTGGCTCTCCTTGTCTCCGTGTGGTTTCCAGCAGCCGTGCTCCCATCAGCGTGTCCAAGCAGCCATGGAGCAGCAGAGGCTGGACACGAAAGCTGGGAAGGTGAACCTGGCACAGAGGAGGGTGCTTAATCATAGGAATGCTTGCAATCAAATCCATCAATGCCTGCAGAGATACGTGGCAGGTGGGGTGGCCACTGTGGGCTCCTGTTGCAAAGGGTGAGGCGCCGCGTCTTATCTGGAGCCACACAATGAGAGATGCCCTTGTTTCAAATGGGGCATTGTGCGAATGGAGAAGGGGGCCACTCACTGGGATACAAGTAATCTCAGCTGCTTCTATAAACTAATCCAGGTGGCCGCCTGGGTGCAGGGCATGTGAGCCGTCCCCATCACCCCGCCGGCCGCCAGTCCCAAGAGAGATGCTCCTGCCAGACTGTGGATTTCACAATTTTCAAGGCTCTCCCAGGCCAGGGACATTATCTTGCAGCTTAGAACACAAAGGGTTGATTCATAAAACCGTGGTTGTAACCCAAGGCCCAGTGTAACCAACCAAGTCTGACCCATCAGTTTCCATCACCTTTGGGTTAGCCACTAACAGCCAGGGGCTCCAGGAGAGCTGGGAGGGGGTCGTGAGAACATCTGTGCATCTGGAGATGCAGCTCACTGGTAGAAGATGCTCCAGGGAACAATTCCAAAGAGCCAGTAGCTTTCA